AGGTGAAAGGAGACAATTTTAGAGAAGAAAATTTTTCGGTCACTACCCGGATTCGAACCCGGGACCTTTTGAATGAGAGGCCAACACCTTAACCTCTAGGCCACGACAGCCCCCTGTGCTTTCTTGTCCTATCTCCATTTTTAATAATAGTGAAAACAGTTGATAACAAAGAGTGAGCTTAAGAAGAAGTCACATTTTCACTGTTAAAAAAAAATGGAGATAAGACAAGAAAGCACTGAGGTCGTGAACTGTTAACATTAGGTGCATTTGTGGTCTAGTGGTTAGTCATGGGTTCGAACCCTATCAGAAGAGCATTTTACACAAAATTTCCTCACTTCAGCCAGGTGGGAATGAGTACCTGGCTAACGACAGCAAGCACGATGACATCAGAGCTACAATTCTCCCTCCGAGACCTAATATTGACAACACACTCCATGGAACATTACAGCAACTGCAGCAAAACCACACTTAGCACAACATGGCATTGGACGAACGGGTGAGAACCCAGCTGTTGCTGGATCCATGACAGCAACAACAACTTAACCTCACTAACCCCCACCTCCGAATGTCCACTAACCTTTGATCGTGGGAGAGCTGGAGTTCTTGAGTCGTACGACAAACTGCAGGGCGAGGGCGGGCGGCAGGTGTCCCTGGTCTGACAAGACATGCAGGAGCTGGGACAGGGTCAGGTTGTGGGGAAGGTCTTTGCCTGTGGGGGGATTGGGATTGGGAGGATTGTACGATTGAGTTTGATAAAAGAGACGATCATGGACACAGTAAACATCATTTAATTTTAACAAGAGTTGTGCCACACTTGCAACACATAGAGGTGATAAAAGAGCCGTTACAAGAGAGTAACATACAAGGAAAAGGTGGAGGAGAGATAAAGGGAAGATGGAGGTTTGATAGAGAAGGAGCTAACCACATCAGAACGCCTGCCGATCATGTAACGCAGTAACGTAATTCATCGGAGATTGAAAACAAGTACGAGCACAAACAACATTCTAGGGAAAAAAAAATGATTTACTGAGAAATCATAAAACAACAGCAATATCATTAAAGCGATTATGTGACACCCGTGACATTGTCTCTCTCTCCTCCTCATCCTAACAAACCGACAGACAAACAGACAAACCGACTGATGAAGATACTGATAAACAAATCTACAGGGCAATGTGTCGT